AGCGACAACAGCAGCGACAACAGCAGCGACAACAGTAGCGACAACAGCAGCGACAACAGCAGCGACAACAGTAGCGACAACAACAACGACAACAACAGCGACAACAACAGCAACAACAACAGCGACAACAACAGCAACAACAACAGCAACAGCAGCAGCAACAACAACAGCAGCAACAGCGACAACAGCAACAACAACGACAGCAACAACGACAGCAAAAACGACAGCAACAACGACAGCAACAACGACAGCAACAACGACAGCAACACCGACAGCAACACCGACAGCAACACCGACAGCAACAACGACAGCAACAACGACAGCAACGGCAACAGCAGCAACGGCAACAACAGCAACAGCAGCGACGACAGCGACAACAACAGCAGCGACAACAGCAGCGACAACAACAGCGACAGCAACAGCAACAACAGCAACAACAACAACAACAGCAACAACAGCAACAACAGCAACAACAACCACAGCAACAACAACCACAGCAACAACAACCACAGCAACAACAACCACAGCAACAACAACCACAGCAACAACAACAGCAACAACGACAACAACAGCAGCACGAGCAGCAGCGACAGCATGGCAGCAACAACAGCAACGACGACGACAACAACAGCGACAACAGCGACAACAGCAACAACGACAGCAACAACGACAGCAACAACAGCAACAACGACAGCAACAACAACAGCAACAACAACAACAACAGCAACAACGACAGCAACACCAACAGCAACACCAGCAACAACAGCAGCAACAACAGCAGCAACAACAGCAGCAACAACAGCAGCAACAACAGCAGCAACAACAGCAGCAACAACAGCAGCAACAACAGCAGCAACAACAACGGCAGCAACAAGAATCCGCCAAAATTCAGTCGGAATTTCGTCTGAAGCAATGGGCTGCGCCCCCGCGTCTTCCAACTCCTTCCTTGACAGGAAACGACCCCAGCGCCAAGCCCTCAGCCGTTTCGCCCGCTTGTACCGCGCGCGGCAGTGCGTCACCCTCCAAGCTAGCCAGCTGGCAAGTTTTGCGAACCTTGTCGACCTGTGGGGGTTTATTGGTTTGGCTTAATGCGCTGCCGGAACATTTTGAATGTGACGCACTGAATGACCAACCACGCCACCCAACTGCGCAGCGGGTGCCTAATTTGGCCCGTGGTGGCTCTTCTACTTTTCTACTACTGCTGTGCGTTCTAACTAATAACAAGGCCAACACAATGCACAAGCCTAGCGCCTACGTGTCAGCTATACTCATGCAGATCACTCCACGGCCAGCAGTGCCGAAACCCTACACACATGCGAAAGCAGCCTGGTAATAAATGGAGCAAAACGGTCGAGAAAGCTAACCACCTACACGAAACACTTGCCAGCAAGTCCCTGAGCTCAACGCCTGCGCACGTGCCTGATGGGCCTAAGAACTACGCATATAATACCTCGACAACGTTCCCAACGAGCACGCGCGGCGGCCCTCCGTCTGGCTCCTTCACCTGAACGACCAGCCGCGCCCCTGGGTAGCAATAGCGCGCAACCACTGAGCTGACCCCGTGAGACAGAGGAAAAGAGAAGGAGAAGCGGCCCCCTCATCCGGTTCCACCCACGTCACACCCAACCGGCTGCAGCCCACGCACTTGCACAGCGCTTCCATCGT